ATTGAGTAAATATTTCCACTGTGAGATCAATAAAGACACTCGATCAATTAAATTTGATCGATGCAGAGATTAAGATGAAATAAAGATTTTTTTTTTATATCAACAGAGGAATGATGATGCTGTATGAATCAGATGTTGATCTAATTTCTGCATGTTTCCACTGATCTCTATTCATTCACTGGATTGCTGCTGATTGCCTGTTGGTAGTACAGGGTTAAAGTGAAGCCACCGGCCGCCATATTGGTACTCCCCAGTTAGACCGATCTCAATGTAAACAATACAATGATGATGTTCTCATTTTTAGGGGAACTTAAGACTTTTAAAATAAAGATAAATTCATCACTTTGACACACACTGGCTGTTTTATAGATTACTTACTTATTATTACTTATTACTTTGATTATTTATCAGTAGACTACTTTAACTTCACATTCCATACTCATTATGAAGTCAAATAAATCTCAAAATCATGTAATATAACATATTATAAAATCCATCACAATTAAATTAATGTGTTAATGGAGCATAATAATAATACAGATGTACCAAAAGTGCCAAATTGATGATGTACATGTAATATACATGTATTAATTACATCTTACTTATAATTTCAAGATTTTACATCAAGACTGAATTTCAAGCACATGTCTGTTAATTATATAGTATAAATAGTTTCTATTTGGTAATTATGCATGAAAGATGCCAGATACTTTAATGCTGTGTCGTTAAATTAGCCTTAAAATCTTTGAGGTTTTTTTTTTAAAATCAAGATAACGTGCAATCTATTTAAGCACGTGACTTTTTCAGATGAGAAATACAACAAACACTGTAAAAATGTAATAAAGAATTAGTACATTGGCATTTCATAGTGAATTATTTTCTATTTACTTTCTATTTTCTAATGTTAGACACAATGTTGATGGCTTATTTAGTCAATGATTGTTCTCCTGATTGTGAAATCACTTGTGAAACTTCCTCCCACAGCCAGCAAACTGCTTGTTTCTGCAGCCAAATGCCACACAGGGAGGCATTTTTATGGTCTGTCTCTGTGGGAGTGGGGAGTACCAATATGGCGGCCGGTGGCTGCACTGTTTCCGGGCTTGATCAGTCCAGTGAATAAATAGAGATCAGTGGGCAGGTCCAGCATATCACTGCTATCAAATTAGCCTCTTCTCAGATCTGCTGAGGAGAACATCTTCCTCCTCCTCCTCCTCCTCCTCATCTTCCTCCTGATGATGATGATTATTCTCCATAAATACTCACATTAATGCACCCATAGTTTAAAACCAAATAACCTTTCCAACAAAAAGACATCAGATAATTAGATGTTTGATGCTCAGTATTATTTTTTTTTATTTTATTTTATTTATTTATTTTTTTTAAATAGCTAATATTTTCCGGCATGTAAATATATATTTCTATAATGTTTGTTTTTCTCCCAGGGTGTCAGCTGACCTTTCCTGAAGCCAATTTTAAACTCTGTTCTCACCTCCAAACTGGTACAAGTTTGGAAATCTGATATGAGGCAGCGCTCTAACCAAGTTAGCGGGAGTTACATGGACTCTAGCCGGAAATGCTAAAGTTCGCGCCTTCAAAATAAAACAATAGGCCAACGTGCAGAAAAGCAATGCGATTAAAATTGGGTAAAAATATGATATAAAGTCGCAACTTTTTAAAATAATTGTAAATCTACCATCAACAGTCTTCCAACCAAATGATGTTAAATTCTCAAAAAATATTATTGGAATTGTTTTGATGTTTAGATTTCTCCTTTTTTAAATTAAAAGTAGTGATTTAGGATTATTTTAGTCACAAGTTAAACAAAAACTTTTCAATTTTTATTCACTTAAAGGGCAATATGGTAAAAATAAAAATTTTTTATTGTTCTTGATCCAGATATTTATGTAGGAATTTAATTTTAAACAGTTTTTTTAACCCTTTCTGCTGCTACTTTCAGGAACTGTCAGTTATGAAGTTAATTCAACTTTTTATGATTATAGCATAAATTAAATGCATCCAATGTATGCAGATTAGTAAATCTGTAAAAAGAAAATTTATTTTCCCATCAGTGGACATAAATGATATGGTGGAGGAAGTCCTGAGCAGTGTGTTATCCTTTCTGCCTTTGGGATCAATGTTTTAGCTCTGATGGTTTCAGGATTCTGATCACTGAACTGAACTGGTTTCCTGTTTCTGGTTCAGCGACCAGTGTGTGTTCATGTCAGCTAATGCCATCCTCAAAGTCTGTAAGGAAAAACGAAAACAGATTTATTCCTGTATAGATTGAGTGAAATATAAATAAATAGATGAATGGCGTCTTACATTTACATGTACAGTAGAAGCCATTCATAATGGCCGTTTCCAGTCAAACACCAGCCGAATAGCCGCTCACTTCCCTGCAGCTCCCAGCAAAATCCCCTCCAACTTCCAGCCACTGGCCTTCTCCTGGGTCTGCATATTTTTTCTCTGACTTCAACCTTCCACTGAATTACAGGGTCTGACCAGGAGATTACTCTTCTCTTTAGGTCTTTAAATCATGACAGAAAGAATATTTTACTACAAAAAGGAATTGCAGGGGACCATCAAGGACGATCAAAGAAAGTGGGGATATTATAAATGGCTACTACTGTAACTGTTTAGACTAGGGGTCTTCAATGCTTTCCAGACTAAGGACCCCCAAACTGATGGCCAGATGCAGTGGGGACCCCCTGATTATATATATTGTATGAAATAGTGTTCTATCAAACTGGTCCTATAGTCACTCTATTACATATGGATCCATGTAACTAAAGTAATTTCTCCCTGGGATTATTAAAGTGTTTATGATTCCTGGTTGATGGGACAGGTGTTGTGAATGAAACGGTGCCCAGCTTGAAAGATCTCCTGTGTGTCTCTGAATGTGAGCATTGATGACTGAAAGACATCTTCTGCCTCCAGTTATCTGTTTACTACAGTGTGTTTAATTCATGTTAATTTAAAGACATTTCAATTAGTGGAAAAAATTGCAGGGGGGAATATAAAAAAAGCTTTTTGCGACCCCCATGCAGTACCTCCATGCTTAGAGACTTTGTAGCTGAAAGAAGGAGCTGGAACCAAAACTTTCTGAGCCTTAACCCCAAAACCCAATATGGCTGCCATACATTAAAAGTTGTGAAAAATAAAATCATGTTTATTGGTAGCTCTGAAGGCTTCCTGTAATTTTGCCACACATTTCACTGAATATAATGTTTATGGAGATGGCCCTGATTAACTAATTTTAAATAAATTCAGTTTGGTAAACCTCACTGCTTTCTGCTTTTTTAAATTGGAACAAGGCTATTTAAGGGATTAAGTAATACCTGAATGGGACTTCTAAGGCAAAAACATCCATTTTCCATCACGCTTTAGCCCAGCTGGGCTCTCCAGCTGTCTACAGGCGAGAGGCGGGGTCCACCCTGGACACGTGTCCAGTCCAGCGCAGGGCAACGCAGAGACAAACAGGACAAACAACCATTCACGCACACATTAACACCTAAGGAGGATTTAGAGAAGCCAATTAACCCAACAGTCATGTTTTTGGACTGTGGGAGGAAGCAGGAGTACCCGGAGAGAACCAACGCATGCTCAGAGAGAACATGCAAACTCCATGCAGGAAGACAAAAGAAAAACATCTGATGGCTAATTTCTCTCAAAATAAGACAAATTGGATTTTTAGCTCAGAGCTGGTGAAAAATGTATATTTCCCCGCAGACGCTGAGCCAGTTTATGGTGCTAAATTAAACATGAATGAATATTTAGTGTTTACACACCATTGGTGTCATGGGACAGGGGGTCTCCAGATGTGTTTGCTGGGGAGGGGATTGGAAGCTGGTTTGGTGGGTGAGTCAGATGAGAGAGAGGTTAGATGGGTGCCAAGGTGGCTGATAGGTGGTGGGGGACTGGGGTCACCCAGAAGGCGACAGAGTCTAGGAAAATAGCGTCGGCTGCAGTCCTGTATTATAGTACAAACTGCACCTGTTAATAAACTGTCCCTTTTGAAATAATAAAAAAAATATATATAGTTAATAATTCCATGTTGAGATCACGTATCATAAAATATAGCTGGTTAGTTAGCAAGGCTACGGTTACCTTAGCTTTCAAACAGGAGTGGCAGCCCACTGCTCCCAAAGGGGATGGGTTAAATGCAGAGGTGAATTTCTCCAATGTGAGATTAATAAAGTTTAATTATTATTATTATTTTTATTACAAACATGTTGGGGCTAATGCTACTAGGGCCTGAAGTGGCGCTGCAGATGGCATCTGCTGGAGGTTTCTTCCTGTTCAAAGGGAGTTTTTCCTCTCCACTGTCGCTACAAGCATGCTTACTGTGAGGGATTGTATTTGAGTCAATGAGTCGATGCAATCAACTGGTTTTCCTTAGATAGAAAACTTTGAGTCAATTTGACTGGATGATTTTATTTTGTTTTTATATTTGTATTTTTCGTTGTAAAATTCTTACTCTTGTGTTTTTAGGTAGACAAGTTTAAGATCTGTCCAGGGACAACAGATGAAAAATAGCATTTTGGCTAATTCTGGTGCATTTGCAGGAATGCTTATTAATGTCGCATAAAAAAATAAATAAATCTAAATCTGATCTGATCTGGGTGAACTCTAAAGTGCCTTGAGATGACATGTGTTGTGTTAAACGGGAGCTATAAAAATAAACAGAATTAAATTAAATTTAAAAAATCAAATAACTTCCATGTTGATATCAAATATCATAACGGGGTAGTTAGCAAGGCTATGCTAACTTTAGCTTCCAAACGTGTTTGGGACATAAAGTGGTTAATTGTTTATATATTTCTGTTTATGCACAGAAATATATTTATCTTATTGTTCTTTTCATGAACCGGTTTAATATGTTTTATTTATTCATCCAAACACATTTCTCCCAAATTAAATGTTTGACTCTTTTATTGTGAAAAACCTAAGCGGCAGTCGTGTTCCTTATGAGCTCTAACTTGACGTCATCAGCAGAGATGGTTAAGTTGGAGCAGCTGATGTCGCTCTAAAAATAATCCCTCTGTCCTTTCCAACTCTCCCCTATTTAGTTTCTTTTCCTTTTCTTCTGTGTTTTCCAGTAATGGTGGAATGAGACGGTTTCAGTGAGGAGACTTTGTCTGTTTGCAGGTAAGACACCTTTATTAATCTGATCTCTGTCTCAGGGCTTTCTGGAGGGTTTTTAAAATTAAATTGTGGAACTTTTTATGTTTTAAAATTTGTCTGTAAATGAAAGTAAATGTTTTCCTGAAATAATTCAAAATTTTCTATCTCTATACTTTTGTTTTTTACTTATCTAATTAAATTGTTATTTAGCTAAACTCTATATGTAAAAAAAAATACACAAAATAAAAGGCTAAAATTCCAATATAATTCCAGTTTTATAAAAAAAAATGGTTTCATTTAAATAAAAGAAATTGTTTAAAACAAATTAAATAAATGAGGCCACACCTTTTTAATTACTTTATAATGACCTTTTTACTGGTTAGATTCGTTTTAGTTGATCTTTTTTCACATAAAGATGCTTCTTCAGGCCTCAGTAATGATGAAAATCCATCCATCAACAGGAAACATGTTTAGATGGACTCCACCTTTAAATCAAAGCAGTAAAACAGAGAATATATGGTGCTAGAAGTCCAACATTTCCTAACAGCTCCTGTGTGTCATGGTTTTAAACCATAGAAGAAGAAAGCTGAGCCTGGAGGCCAAAGTGTGCCGGGGTTGTCGGTCTGATTCCTGTTCTTCTCCCAGTTTGAGTCCAGGAGTGAGAGGAGCCGATGGCTGGAGGCCAGCCTTTGTCGTTTTGTGGTTACAACAAGGTTCCCGACGCCTACAGCGTGGAAAAGGGGGTGCTGAACAATGGCTGCTTCGTGGACGCTCTCAACCTGGTTCCTCACGTCTTCCTGCTCTTCATCACCTTCCCCATCCTCTTCATCGGTAGGTGGTAAAGCTGTCTACTCCTGTTTCCGTCGTCTCGGTGAAAAATGGCGGCCTTAGGAACTCGGATCCAGATGAATTCTGGAGCTGTCCAGCAGAGATGCTTCAGCGCTCAGTTCCAACTCTTAACTTCCTGTTTTCAAGCTTCCAGCAGCTTTCAGGTGGAGCTCAGCTGAAGGTCCAGGACGATCTGAGACCCAGAGCTGATATGGAACCAGCTGCTGCTTCTTATAAATACAGGAAGTAGTTTTTAAATGATTACATTTGTTTCAGTCCTTCATGGTAACTGATTTGCCTCAGATTGATGCATTACACGGTTCTGTTTGCTACCAGAACCGGCCTGACCCGCTTCCTGTTGCATAGATCACTTAGATAGGACCTGACTGGTAACATGAAGTAGGCTGAGCGATCCCAGAAAGAAACACATGATCTAAAGAATTAAAAAAACAGATGAGGAACATCTATCACACTGGAAAAACGATCTAGAAATAAGAAAAAATATCTTAAGTGTATTTACCCTTAATTTGTGTAGATAAATGACATAGTTTGCCAACTAAATGAGTATTTTTACTCTTAAAATAATAACATGCACTTGAAATAAGACAAAGCAACTGTGTTTTCTTATTTTAGATGTAAATAGTCTTGTTCCATTGGCAAAATGTCTCTTTTACCTCCTCAATCCAAGAACAAATGCACTTATTTTAAGAAAAAATGACTTATCTAGATGTAGATTTGTGTAACCCAGTGCAGCCTGGGTTACACACTGGACAAAATTTAAATCTAAGAAAGTTTATTTTTCTTAAAAAAAAGAGCATTTCTTCTTGAATTAAGTAGTTACGTGATACACGTTGCCAATGGATTAAGGCATTTTACATATAAAATAAGAAAAAACAATTGCGTTGTCTTATTCCAAGTGGATCTTATCTAATTATCTACTTTTAAAAGTAAAAATACTCTTATTTAATCTTATTTACCTGCTTAAATTAAGACTAAATACACTTATTTAGAACCAACAGAACCGTTCTTACATTGGAAAAACAATCTAGAAATAAGTAAAAATGTCTTAAATTAAATGTATTTACCCTTAATTTGAGTAGGTAAACAAGATAGTTTGCCAATGGAATGAGTATTCTTACTCTTAAAATAAGATAATTAGATAAAATGCACTTGAAATAAATCTTATTTTAAGTGTAAATTCTCTTGTTCCATTGGCAAAATGGCTACTTTACCTCCTCAATCCAAGAACAAATGCACTTATTTTAAGAATAAATTACTTATCACGACTTTTTTCCAGTGTTCCATAGAACCTCAGAGAGAAACCACGATGAGGTAGAAAGGCCGAGAACCTCCGGGTGCTGCTATGAACCAAACACTGGGAAGCTGCCTGTTCTTCCAGAACCACAGAAGGTTTTACTTCGGGTTTTTAAATGTGTCTGCAGCCGTCGTCCATCAAGGTATCTCATAAAGACCTGGTGATGTTCTAAGCCCAGTTCAACCTGTAGGAACCTTTAGAAAAACACCAGAACTCCCTAAAATCTGACTCCATTCAGGTTAATTTACTAAAGCAGCATCAAACCTGATGTTGTTAATGAGTTTAATAAGTTAAAGTGATAAAATTTAAGCCTCAAAGAGGGAAAAAAACTTCATCCAGTAGTAGGCGATGCAAAAACTATAAATTTAAGGCAAATTTTCTTTAAATAAGCCAATTTTTCCTTGAATAAGTGAGAAACTTTGCCAATGGAATAAGACAATTTAAATTTAAAATAAGAAAAAAACACTATGTACACTGGTGTCTTATTTCAAGTGCATAATATCTAATTATCTTATTTTAAGAGTAAAAAAACTCATTCCAGTGGAGATTTTCTTATTTAGCTGCTCAAATTAAGGGTAAATTCACTTAATTTAAGATGTTTTTAATAATTTCCAGATTAATAACATAGATATTCCTGCTGAAGTCTTGAAATGCGCATCAGTCCGTATGCTGAGCAGAGTTTACGTTTCCTCAAACCGTGACGGATCAACAGATTCATTCCTGATAAGTCAGATATGAAAATCCATCAGATGGACAAGCTGCAGACAATCACACATGCTCTGAAATAGCTGCTAAAGGCGCGTGTAACTGTAGAAGGACGCAGGCTTGGCTCTGCTGAGCGGGCAGAGAGCGCGCCGAGAACCTGCTGCTATGATGGATGGCTCACTGGCTGCTTTAGTCTCACAGTCACACAGCAGCTCTGGGAGGAACCGTGCGTCAGCGGCGCCGGTTCAGCTTCTCAATGCGCTTCACACTGCAAAAACAATCTAGAAATAAGTTAAAATGTCTTAAATTAAGTGTATTTACCCTTAATTTGAGTAGGTAAAGGAGATAGTTTGCCAATAGAATTGGTATTTTTACTCTTAAAATAAGATAATTAGAAAATTATGCACTTGATATAAGACAATGTAATTGTGTTTCCTTATTTTAAGTGTTCCTTTGGCAAGATGTCTCTTTTACCTCCTCAATCCAAGAACAAATGCACTTATTTTAAGAAAAAAGATTTAGATTTTGTCCTGTGCACTCCTTGCAGTCGAGGAGCTAATCGACGGATCCTTATTTTAGAGTCACCCTATAGCTGCCATAGGGGAATACTGTCATCTGAAGCCAGGAAGTATTCTGAGCTCTGACAGGACGTCGGCTATGGGGGGAAATTTGGTCCAAGATTGTTGTTTATAAATGGAAATTTGGAAACATGCATTCCAAAACTTAAACTGTGAATTTTTATTTTATTTTAA